CAACGGGTGCTCCAAGTCACACTGGCTCACAGAATAGCAGAAAATGTTTGCCTGATCTGATGAAGTTTCTGTTGTGACATTTGGATCGTTGAATGAGAATTTGGCGTTAACAACAGGACACCACGGATCTATCCTACTGTTTATCACAATTTCAGGTGGTGTAATGGAGTGGGGAATATTTTCTTGGAACACTTCGGGGCCCTTTGAGAATCATTTAAATGCCACATCTAACCTGAGTATTGTTCTTGATCATGTCCAATTCTTTATGACCACAGTGTGCACAGATGAATGTTTTGCATGTCTTTGTCTCTGTCTGTCTCCCCTCACCCCAACCAGTCTCAACAGATGGCTGCCCGCTCGTCCCTGGGCTTGGCTCTGCCTGAGGTTTCTTCCTTTTAAAAGGAAGTTTTTCCTTCTCACTGTCACCCATAGAAGGTCATCTGATTGTTTGGGTTTTCTTGGTTTTCTCTGTACTATTGTGGGGGTTTTACTTTACAATATAAAGCACCTTGATGCAACTGTTCTTTAGTGTTGTTGTTTGGTGCTGTTTCGTTGAACTGAATTGCTTCCAGGAGGATAAGTCATGTCACAAAGATTAGTCACCCAATCTCAATCCAGTAGAGCAACTTTGGGATGTGGTATAGAGGTAAATTCACATCATGGAGCAGCTGACAAATCTGCAGCAGCTGTGCGTTGCTATCATGTCAATAATGACCAAAATCTCTGACAGGTTTCCAGTAACTTGATGAATCTGTGCCTCGAGGAACTGAAAGTGAGAAAGTCCAACCAGATACCAAGAAGCTGTACCTAACAAAGTGTCCAGTGAGTGCAAATTCAATTCAATTCAATTCAATTTTATTTATATAGCGCCAAATCACAACAAATGTCGCCTCAAGGCGCTTCATAGATACAGAGAAAAGCCCAACAATCATATGACCCCCTATGAGCAAGCACTTTGGCGACAGTGGGAAGGAAAAACTCCCTTTTAACAGGAAGAAACCTCCGGCAGAACCAGGCTCAGGGAGGGGCGGCCATCTGCTGCGACCGGTTGGGGTGAGAGAAGGAAGACAGGATAAAAGACATGCTGTGGAAGAGAGACAGAGATTAATAACAGATACGATTCAATACAGAGAGGTCTGTTAATACATAGAGAGCGAGAAAGGTGACTGGAAAGGAAAAACTCAATGCATCATGGGAATCCCCCGGCAGCCTACATCTATTGCAGCATAACTAAGGGAGGATTCAGGGTCACCTGGTCCAGCCCTAACTATATGCTTTAGCAAAAAGGAAAGTTTTAAGCCTAATCTTAAAAGTAGAGATAGTGTCTGTCTCCCGAATCCAAACTGGAAGCTGGTTCCACAGAAGAGGGGCCTGAAAACTGAAGGCTCTCCCTCCCATTCTACTTTTAAATACTCTAGGAACAACAAGTAGGCCTGCAGAGCGGGAGCGAAGTGCTCTAATAGGGTGATATGGTACTACAAGGTCATTAAGATAAGATGGGGCCTGATTATTTAAGACCTTGTATGTGAGGAGCAGGATTTTGAATTCAATTCTGGATTTAACAGGAAGCCAATGAAGGGAAGCCAAAACAGGAGAAATATGCTCTCTCTTTCTAGTCCCTGTCAGTACTCTTGCTGCAGCATTTTGGATTAACTGAAGGCTTTTCAGTGAGTTTTTTGGACATCCTGATAATAATGAATTGCAGTAGTCCAGCCTGGAAGTAATAAATATTACATCAGAATTCCAGTAACATGATAAGAAGGAGAGGCGACGCTAAAACTGAGGAATAAAGAGGGATGAATTGTGAGAAAGACAAATCAGAATCCAAGTGAAGCCATTTGTCCTTTACCCCTCCCTGTCTGTCAGCAGAAGCCAAATAATCTCCTCATTTATCTGGGGTTAAAACTCACAGCGCGCACAGAGGGATTTGCAACAAGCTGGAGATTTTTCACACCATCAGCCGTCAGTAAGTGAGTTAGTGATCTTGAGTGATATATCCCTGTATGTCCCTCTTCTTAAATGAGTTAGTATGTGTCTAGTGGCCGTGTCGCCAAGACGTGCTGGTGATGGATGAGGCTCTAAGGAGATGGGCTGTAAAAAAAGGCTGATTCTGGCACTCAAGGGTGAGATCACTTCCTCAATAAAAAAGCATTGTCCCGAATCATCACAGCAAGGTATGAATGCTGATTAGGGTATTAGGCGAAAGAGAGCTTCGCTGTAAAAATAAATCAAATGAGCTGCGAGTTAATGCAGAGGGTCCCTCTGATACAGAGCTACGGTGTCTACGACCGGGGCCCAATGGCTTCGGATACAAAGACAGCAGTAAATAATGAGTAATTATTCCAAGTCCCTCATTGCTGGATTACAGGCAATGTCTTACACTCAACTAACCCTGCAAGGGCTTCTCTTAATAGTTGCTCTGTAATGGCCGCAGGGAGACATCGTTTTTAAGGCGTTATTGTCCTTAAGAAAGAAAAATATTCATGGAGAGTAATTATCACACTTTCTTAACAACGAGCTAAAGACAAAATGAGCTTCTGTGTCCTCGTAACAAAATGACAGAATTATCCAAAGGTCATTGAAAGAGCTGTATTTTTTAATGGATGTTGGAACTTTTTCCTAGATAAATGGTAAAACTGACGTAAAACAAAGATTTCATGATACACCTGATACACACTGGGAAAAGTGGTGGTAAGTTTTTCTTCAAATGCTCTTAGTGTAAGAAAAAGATTATTAACGCACTGATTTTATCTAACTGATTGGTCACTGGACCGTGACGACTTCCTTCCTGCGCTGTCACATAATCATCATCTATCCAGACATGTTAAAGGTGAGCAGGTGAGAAATTTCCCTTCTTTAGTAGATGAAGTGAAAGCAGATGGTAGTTGTGGCAGACTGTGTACAGATCATTCTGAGGACTTTGACAAGTAGGTAGGAAGACAGATGACACTGATACCTGCATCAATGCATACATCCAGGATACAACAGGGGACCATTTTCCATGTAGAATTTAAGAGGAGGAAGAAGAAAATCGTTCAAATCATTCCGGTCTTCCACCAAAGCGGCTCAAGCTTAAAGATTTCATGCAATCCTCTGGAAAACTGTTAGTAAAGTTATTCCTGTAGCTCTTTACTGTCAATCACCCCATCACCTCCACCAAAGCAGGCTGAACACCTAAAAAGTTGAAGGTCACTTTAAGACTTTGTGCACCAGTTTCTCCAGCACAGAAATTGAAGGGTTTAGTTGATCTTTAATATCATTATTATTATTATTTTAAATAATGAGCATACATGTGACAGGATATGCTGCTGTTCCAAATCTCACTGCAGTGTAATAAAAAACTATGACTGGGTGTGAGGTAGGTTCACTCAGGAAAGGGCAAAGCCAGCAGTAGCTGCCTAGTGCCATCGTGTGGTCATACAGGATATTGCACAGGTCAGTAATTTCACGTTATTCTCAGAAATATTTGGAGCTCACATTACAAAGTTTTTTTTTTAGCTTTCCCCCAAAAATGGTTATAAGTATATCCATTCACCCATACTCTTCCACATATCCGGTCCAGGGATGCAGTTGGGCTGGACAGGTCGCGAATCTGTTGCAGGACTAACACATTCATGCCTACAGCCCATTTAAAATCAAACCTTACATACATGTCTTTTAACTGCGCCAGCAATAACATGATGATGCATAAAATTCAGTTTAACAGTGTAACTGAAACTCATGCTGGCCAAAGGCCCCTTATGAGCCAGACAGTGTGTTATCCTTTAAATCAGTCACCGACAAAAGCTGCTTCCTTTTGAGTAATCAAAGTAGAATTAGTGGAGTAAAGGGCATACAATAAAAACAGAAGATACCACATTACAGCTTTATCTTTAGATGGGTTTCTTTTTAGTCACTATTATTTAG